ATTAGCTGGGCATGGTGGCGCGTGCCTGTAATCCCAGCTACTCAGGAGGTTGAGGCAGGAGAATTGCCTGAACCCAGGAGGTGGAGGTTGCGGTGAGCTGAGATTGCGCCATTGCACTCCAGCCTGGGTAACAAGAGGGAAACTCCGTCTCAAAAAAAAAAAAAAAAGTTGTCAACCTTCTCTCTGCCCACACACCTGAGGAATGTATCACCTACTCATGGGTAACAATAATCTCCCCTTCCCTCTACCCCAAAGCAATTCTCTGCAGGGAGAGGGAAAAGGAAAGGATGGGATGGGATGGGGGGATATGAGGTAGTTCTGGGGAAAAAAAAAAAAAGCTACCAGGTGATTCTGGTAGTTGATCACATTTGGGCTCGCTGCTGTACTATAATGAAAAACTCTTTTGGGGTGTAGGAATCTAGAATTACACTAGAATTTACGGCACACCAGTTTTACAGTGGCAAAACCAAGTAAATGGGGAAGAGATCAATCAGAGCTAGAGCATCTTTGAGAGGGGAGAGTGCAGGTTAATAGTTCAGAGCATCTATACACCAATCTGACCACTACTGGAGTATGGTCTAGCAGGGCTCTGAAAGGGCCTGGTTTGTGTTTCATTGTTGGGTGCTATCACGGGGCCCTGTCTTCATCATGCCAGCCCCCGAGAGTTACACAGTTCTGGCTGGACAATCTTCATTGTACAGAGGAGAAGACTAGGGGTTAGTGATAGGCAGAGTTGCCCAGCCACTCAATCAGCAACATAGCTGGACAGGAATCCCAGGTTCCTCTTTCCCAGCCCAGACCCTTCAACACTACCAAGTTCTTTACCTGTCATTAGTTCCCAGGTAAACTTCACACAAGCTTTGACCTAGTCACACATTCCAAATTAATGGAGATAGCTGCCTTTTGGAATAAGACAACTATAAATAAACAAGGTTACAAATGAATGAGGTTTTTAGAAAATTTAAGTTCTCTTTTCTTTATAGTAATGTCTATAGGCTGGGAGGGGAAAGCTCTGGGTCTACGAAGAACACAGGGATCATCTAGTAAACCTCTCTAGATTTCTCCTGCTGCCCCTAAAACAGACTGGAAACAGCAGTGCCAATGCTGCCACCACTCCTATCCCCATCACCCTTCCCACTGTCCCTTCCCCTGCCATTACCTGCACAAAGTGTTGCATTTGAGGGCTCCAGTCCCAAAATTGTTTCCCACATAGGAAAGCCTATCTGTTTCAGCTGCCTAAAATGCAAAAAGGGGAAACTCCATTTACAACCAATGTTGAAAGGTATTAAGCATCATCTCTCTTTTCTACATTTGCTGAAGCTTTAGAATCCAGATCCACAATGGATTAGAATTAGTTCATCTCTGGCAGATGATCCAGCCCCACTATCTCTAAGGGAATACGGGGTGTCCCTGGAGGGAAAGCAAGATGACTTTTGAAAGAGAAGCCTCAGATATTGCTAGCTTCTAAATGGTATGAAAAGTTCTTGGGGGAATTCTACCACAGGACTTGAGAGAGAGGCCCTGGGCTTCTAGCACTTATAGGTATGCAACAAAGTGATTCTGTCAGCAATCTCTGTTTGGCCCAAAGTCCAGGCCCTTTTTGATCTTCTTTGCCCATCTCTCCTATGACTATTCTTTATATACACTCAAGACCATGGCTGATTCACTTCCCAATCATAAGCAAGCTTTCCTACTTCTCTGCATTTGTCCTCACTATCCTTTCCACTTGGAACATCAAACCTTGACTGCCAAACTCTCATTCCATCCTTCAAGGCTCAGCTCCAACATGCCCTCCCCAAGGAAGGCATTCTGGCAGAGACCTCGCCTCCCACTGAGCTCACTCTGCCCTGTACTCTTCCCACGCGGCCTCAGAGCTTTGTGTAAAAGTGTCCCTCACAGCCAGTTCTCATCTCTCTAGAGCTGAGCTTCTCAATCCAGGGAAATCCACTCTGGTGCTACTGGCATCTAGTGGGTAGAGACCAGGGATGCTGTCCCCACAACGAACAATTATTGGCCCAAAATGTCAATAGTCCTGAGGTTGAGAAACCCTGCTCTAGAGTATGAACTTTCTCCGAGTGGGGCCAGGCCTGATTTGGCTGTTTCCCTAGAAGCTTGCAGCACAGGGAACAGAGGGGGTTCCATAAATGCTTGTTGAAAGAACAAACGAATGAAAGATGGAGTCTGTCCCCACATCCCAAGTTGCTGGGCATCAGAGTTCTTCAAAGGTCCTTTTGCTACTCCCCTTTACCTCCCCTCACTGCCTCCCACATCCACACACTCCCAGGGTGGAGGCACCTGGCAACTAATGCACTTACCAGGATCCGTTGATTCCTCTTCCTGGGGTTGGTGGAATCTTTGTTCTCATACAAGGTAAAGCGCATGTTGCCTGGACTCTGCAGCTTCCCGTTGGAGAACTGGACTGTAAGAGTGCAGCCCAAGAATGAGATGAGAGCAGAAGGACACATAATGTATGGCGGAAATAGACTGTCATTGGGAGGGAGGGAGTGTCGGAATGGGCATGGCAAGGAAGCTTGGGTCCTGACCTCCAGGGAACTGGAGGAGATCCGGGCCAGCTGAGAAGAGGGGATAGGGAGGTGTGAGAACCCTGGGGAGGGGCTGTGACAAGGGAATGTCTGGGCGAAGGAGCCTGGCAGCAAAGGCCTGGTCCACAACTAAAGTGACAGAAAGAACCCTTGCCCAGTGAAGAGAGGGAAATGGGGGAGGTGGGAGACCTGGTGGGTGAGGGGACAGCAGCGTCCTGGACCCAGCCCTGGAGAGCGGGTGCCTGGGATGTTCCTAGCCGGGTGGGAGTTAGTGCCAGAAAGACGGCGGTTTCAGAGGGGAGCCCTGACGGAGCCCAAGAGAGTGGTGGAGACCAGAAAGGTCCTGGCCCCGCTGGGAGGGGCCTAACGGAGAGCGAGAGGGCAGATGAGGCACGGAGACGGAAGGGGAGAGGGTTAGAGGAGCTCTGCTCCAGCTCTGCCGTCTTTACCCAGTGCAGCTCTCTGGCTCCCAGCGGGCGCCCCACAATACAGCCACTTCGCACTCGGCAACACCTCTGCCGCCATCTCGACTGTCTGGCCCCCAAGCACAGGAGTTAAGATAGCAGCAACCACAAGAGCTCTTTCAAACACGCCGGAAGCGCAGGCCGCGCGGTTAGCGGAAAAGGCGTGGTTCCGCCGGGCACTGCCCAAAGTGCGCAAGCCACGGGGCCCCGCCCCCCGGGGCCCCGCCCCCCGCGTGGAAAGGCGTGGTTTCCGCCTACCCGGTGCCACCCCCCAACCCCACCGCACGGCCGGCCGAGGCGCAGCACCTGATTGGCTCAGCGCTCGCCGCCACTCTGGGTTTTGTAGGTCCAGAGGACAAGGCGCCAAGGGGTCCTGAGGCTTCAGTCTAAGCTTCCTGTGGGCTTTCTAACCGCTCAGCACCGTCTAGAGGGAGAATCGTCTCTCTCTCTCTCTCTCCTACCGTGACACATATCTTCCCAAAACCTGAAAGACCAAGTTCAAATTTAGAATTCTCTGATCGGAACTGCTTGAGCCCCAACTAAATGTGGCAGCTGGCGAAGAGCCCTCTGGAGAGCCTCCCACCTACACACAAGAACATCCAGCTCTAGGTACAAGCTTTGTCCACTGTAGGGCTGTTGGGCCCCACAGGATCGTGGGGCGTCCCTTATGCTGTGCTGGAGTGCAGGATCCAAGAAGTAAAGACACAGGACACTGAAGAACTGGTGAAGACCATCTAGACTCAGCGGGCCATGCCACCTATGAGCGGAGACACGCGAGGGCCAGAACGCTTAGAAGCGTCTGTATTTATTAGGTACAAGCAGGGGGAAGGATCGTAAGTTAGGTCATTATCTATAGGCTTAGTGACAGGGCATACATAATCACGTGAGTCACAAGTGAGGGGGCCACCCCATTATGTCATCTGGGCAGAGAGGTGGGCCGTGTGCAGTAGTAGAGGGTCATGTACAGAAAACGGGTCCACCCCCATTAGGTCACTGAGGCAAGGAGGTGGGCTGTGTGCAACAGGTGTGGCAGCACTTCTTATCTGGGGGCTGGAGTGTCAAATGATTTCTAATAGAAAGATACTGTAAGCCAATGCAGTGGGTGCTCACAGACTTGTGCTCTTCTCTTAAGATATTTATGGGAGGCTGATTTGAGCTAACACAGAAGCGAGAAAAGGCTGACAGGGTGTACAGCCACTGTGACTGGTCACATCACAGGGGTTCTTCTTCCTCGATTATTTGCAGGATCTCAGGCCTGAGGCCTACTTTCCACAGGAACTGGATGCAAGGAACTACAACTCCTTTATCAGGAGGAGAGGCTCTTGCTCCAAGCCTGCCATACAGCATATGACCCTTCAGGTAGGGAGGCCACCTGGGTCTTTGGTTCTTGTCCTGGTCTGGCTGTTTTCCCATGTGCTGCTTCTGTTCTGTGACTGCTGTAGGCATTCCTCCTACTATAAACCACTATATGGTTATATAGAAGGATTCTATAAATCAGCCCTAAATGTGTCAGTACAGCTCTGACTACAATACCTATATGATTATATAGAAAGATTAAATGGAACTAAGTATGATTATATATATAAGCTAGATATAGTAAGCAGTAAGTGAGTATATGATTATATAGAAAGATTATATGGGACTAAGTTATATAAGCGAGATATAAGTAAGCAGTGAGTTATACTTCAGGCACTAATTGTGCCTGGGGTCTGCACAGTTCTCCTTCCTTGGTGCCCCTGGGGGGTGTTACCCACAATCCACAGTCCAGCCAACAGCTCCCCACCATGGGCTGTGGTGGGCACACCTGTGTCCCAATCAAGCCTGAGGTGAAGGAACAGAAGCCCAGCGAACCCAGAGCATTTGGGCAGGAGATTCTGAAGTAGAATAGAAGAGGGAGTCCGAGCTGATGGACATGGCCCTTTTTCACTGCGGATTCAACCCTTCTTCTGCACAGGGAGTTTTCAGAGCAGAAAAAGGGCAAAAGCAGGGCCTTTAACCATGGACCCTGGCCGAGGACCCTGCCCAAAGATGCATACCACTGAACGGCAAGAACTGGGGTTGACTCCTCTCTGTCCTCCAGATCGCCTTCTTTCAAGACTCTCTTCCTTCCACACACGCTCACATCCACCTCCAACACTCAGGACCCTAGGACTAACCCGAAAGCCTGCGTGCCCCTTTGCCTGAGCACTTGTCACACTTTTGTAATTACCCAATCTCAGACTTAAAGAAACACTGCAAGAACATTTTTTGCCCTGAAACATTGAATAAGTTGTCAACCTGATGTCCTTTCACCCCGAAGACTATAGTATTTCCTACAGAAAGGGACATTTCCTAAATAACAAAACAGCCATCAGAATCGGCAAACTGCCAGGCGCAGTGGTTCACGCCTGTAATCTCAGCACTTTGGGAGGCAGAGGCAGGTGGATCTCTTGGATTCCAGGAGTTTGGGACCAGGCTGGGCAACATAACAAGAACCTGTCTCTACAAAAAATAATTAGCCAGATGTGGTGGCACACATCTGCCATCCCAGCTACTCAGGAGGCTGAGGTGGGAGGATCACTTGAGGCTGGGAGGCAGAGGCTGCAGTGAGCTGTGATGTTGCCACTGCACTCTAGCCTGGGTGCAAAAAAAAAAAAAGGGAATTAACACTGGTACATTACTACCATGTAATCCTCACATCTCATTTAAGTTCACCCATTGTCCCAATGTTTGTTGTTTGTTTTTTGAGGCAGGATCTCACTCTGTCACTCAGGCTGGAGTGCAGTGGCAACCAGGGCTCACTGCAGCCTTGACCTTCCAGGCTCAAGTGATCCTCTCACCACAACTTCCCGAGTAGCTGGGAATATAGATGTGCCACCACACCCAGCTTTTTTGTTTTGTTTTGTTTTAATTTTTAAATTTTTTTTTTTTTGTAGAGACTGGGTCTCACTATGTTGCCAGGGCTGGTCTCAGACTCCTGGGTTCAAGCGATCGTCCCGCTTTGGCCTCCCAAAGTTCTAGGATTATAGGTGTGAGCCATTGCAGCTGGCCGAATCATGTTTTTATAGCAAAAATGTCCTGTCAAGAATCATGTGTTGGCTGGGTGCAGTGGCTCACACCTGTAATCCCAGCACTTTGGGAGGCCAAGGCGGGTGGATTACCTGAGGTCAGGAGTTTGAGACCAGGCTGGCCAACATGGTGAAACTCTGTCTCTACTAAAAATACGAAAATTAGTCGGGTGTGGTGGTGAGTACCTGTAATCCCAGCCACTTGGAAGTCTGAGCCAGGAGAATTGCTTGAACCCGGGAGCTGGAGTTGCAGCGAGCCGAGATCACGCCACTGCACTCCAGCCTGGGCAATAGAGTGAGACTCCATCTCAAAAAAAAAAAAAAGAATCATGTGTTGCATTTAGCCTTCATAGGCCTTCTCCCTTGGAAGGCTACCTTGCTCAACCCCACATCGTGATTTTTGGATTGAATTGTTCAGGGAAGGAAAAGGGAATAAGAAGGGAGAAGAAAGAAGGCTGAAGAAAGAAGAGCTTAATTGTGTGATTGCCTTCCCCATTGATAATTTTCTCACTAAACTTATTTGGGGTTAACAATAAACGGTTTTGGGGTTAATAAGTAGATTTATGTTTGTTTTGATCACTGCTTTATCTCCAACTCCTGAACATAGTAAACCCTCAGTAAGTATGGAACGAATGAATGAATGACAGGGCAAGGAATGGACCTGAATTATCACTAATCTTGGAAGCCTAGTGCAGGGACTGGCTTCCAAGTTGTTTGTTACCAAACTCAAAGATGTCTGGTAATATTGGTTGAAATCAACTAGCATGGAGTTTACAAATAACAGACTCTGTAAATGTTTTTTGGTCGAATGAAAATATGAAAAGGTAAATAAAAGTTAAAGGTGACCAAGATAACAGTGGGTACAAGGAGCCAAGCATAGCTTGCTTTTTTTTTTTTTTTTTTTTTTTTTTT